ATGGCATGCAATTTTAATTACAAAAGCATCTCTTATACACAAAAAAAAAAAATAAAAACAACACACTTTCTCATACACATAATGACACGCCCAGCTGCTGCTCGGTGAGTCCTCGTAATTTAAAACGTCGCCCTTTGCTGGAAAATACAAAAATATGGGCTCGTTAATTATATTTAGATTCTTATGTGCAACCTACAGCGTCATACATATGATTCCCCCCTAGCCATATCTACTCTGCTCTATTTATACATATATAACAAATAAAAAGTGTCGCCTAAGAGCTCATTTGCTGGCATCCAGATGATAAATATTTTCTTAAATCAGGCGATGCTATGCAATATTTTCAACATTAAGTAAGTTTCCAAAGATTAAAGTAACAGATGCTTAGACAAACCACTTACTACGTATATATGTATATGTACATTGTATAATACATAGTTACATACTTGCATCACATAAATATGAGTATTTACCCAAGTACTTATATTTGCATTAAGCTCTAGTGTTTCAACTTAGATATGACTTACAATGTGTGGCAGCTAGGCAGCTAAAAGTAAAAGCCACAGTTCATTTTAGTTTGTATTTGGCGTATGAAGGAGATTTGTAGCACAATTGAGGCTATCAGCGATCAGCACGAAAACCCAAAACAGCAAGCGGCATATTTATGGTGAATAAAAGCACATGTGTTGCGCTGTATAAGGGCAGAGTAGCATGTCCATACATACATACGCACATGTACCAATGTAGAAAAAGCAGCCAAAAAGCGTGTGGCTGTGGAATGTCAAGATAGACACTTGTAAAACAAAACGACAAATCCACCAATTCATCCGCCATTCAAAGGGTTATGGGAATTAGGCGGTACATTCTTACTAATAATATATTCCATAGGTTGCAGCTCACTGATGCAGTGATAATCTTACATATATGAGAATGTGTGAACAAACATGCATACATACATACGTACTTAGTACTTAAAAGCACCATGGATATTTAAATACATATTTTGTTAGAGAAAGGCAAACCACAGCAACGATTACTTTTGTGGCAGAAATTTGTAATGGTGCTACTGCATCATGAGGTAGAAAGCTCAATGTGCGGTATCAGAATTAAACGAACACCCAGTGCATACAGCTTTATTTTGAAAATTGTCTAAGCTCCACCACAACTTGAACTAAAAAAAAAAGTTATGATGCAGAGTCACGACTGCCTCGGTATAGTATTGGATGCTGTGTGTAGCGCAATTTAAAGTTGATTAAATATCATTCGTTTACTAAAAGACTATCTGTTACAATTCAAAAACAGCATTTCTCAGGTAATGATGAAGAAATATTCCTTATAACATGTATACAAAAACTGCATGCTAAAATCTTGAGATATTCTCCGGCGAGGAGCGAGTATGCATCTGAATTTTCCGCAAGGTGTTACTTATATAGTTCAAAACTTTAAACGCATATCCAGAAAAATCTGTTTTTTAAGTTGTTACAGTCTTTTAGTAGCTGTGCAATTAGGCTAAGGGACTCAAAAACTGTGAGAGAAAATTAGAATTGTCTTGAAAAATAAAAAAAAAAAAACGTATAAATACCCAGAATACTGGAAAAAAACAGAAAAATCCCGAAAATCCTTTCAAAGTTTCCAATGTATTCCTGGAAATTGAAAAACGAAAAATTCCTGAAATTAAAAAAAAACACCCAATATTCTCACAATATAAGGTTCGGAAAATATCCAGAAAAGTGCCGAAAAAATACAGGTTCCCAAATATTCCGGAAAAATAAAATATAAGTATACGAAAAGTCTCGGAAAAGCCATAAAAGTGCCGGAAAAATCCCAAAAATTGCAGAAGTATTCCTATAGAATGAAACATAAAGAATCCTGAAAAATTCCGAAAAAGTTCCGAATGCTACCGAAAAACCGCGCAAAAATTAAAAATAAAACAAACCGAAATATCTTCAAAAACAACAAACGAAAAATCCGGCAAAATCCACAAAGACGGAAATCCCCTTAAAAGTTTCCAAAGAATTGTTCCAAAAAATATAGAAATCTTCTGAAATCCGCCAAATATTCCCATAATGTTGCTGGAAAACAAAAACGTAGGATATCGAAAAGTTCGGAAAAAACCGGCAAAGATCAAAAAAATTCTTAAAATATTCATGAAAATAAAAAAGAAGAAACCCGAAATATTCTTGAAAATTAAAACACAAAGAATCGCGAAACCTCTCAAACAGTACTGAAAAATCTCTTAAAAACTAAAAAAAAATCCGAAAATATCTTCAAAAATAAAAAACGAAAAATCTCGAAAAGACTGGGAAAATCCAGAAAAGTTCTGAAAAACTCCTAAAAGTTCCCAAAGGATTCCTGGTTATCAAATTTCAGAAGAATCCCGAAAAGTGCCGTAAAAATGCTAAACGTTTCCGAAAAAATCTCCTAAAAATCCAAGAGGTGTCGAATAAACCCCAGAGTCACGAAGAATTTCATTAGATTACCAAAACCTAAAAAGTTGCTTTCTACTAAAAAAAATCTGGCAAACTTTGCCTTTTGTTTTTTCTCAAAAACTAAAGAAAAAACAAAAAATAATTACCGTTTCTTGCTCGAAACAATAAAAATCAAGCTTTTTTTAAGCTACGCCGAAATCATATTAAAAGACGATAAACGAGTGATATTTTCGAAAAAATTATACGAATATTGTATCAGTATTTCTTCTTTATTATAAAACCTACAAATAGCTTTAATAATTTTAAAACGACTGGAATGGGCGCTCTGTGCAAGGTCTTTAAAATTTTGCGAATGAAACGGGAAAAAAATCTTTTCCGGGCGCCCAAAAATTCAGAAAATCTTCCTTAAAAACTTCATTCTTCAATGTTATATTGAGCCAAAAACGAACAGCAAACAAAACAAAAAATAACCAGAACATGAGAGATCTTTTCTGGCACATGCTCTTCAAAGTACTTAAGCATCCATCACATTTAGCATATCCACACTCCCAATCAGG